CATCAAATATTATTATATTACAGAACTAGAGTTCATGGAAGTAGACAGCTGTGAAGGTATTGTGCTTTTGATTAGCTTCCTCTTATTTCTCACTCTTCTTCATTTGCTCAATTCGATTAGTATCTATTGGTAGTAAACTAGTTAGGGCAGGGAGCTATTTGTAGTAAACTACCAATAGCTTCTATGTAGAAAAAGATCTACAGCAGCTGAAAGACCAAGCATGGGGAAAAAAAAGGCATTAGCTAGGTCTGAGTGGAAGGAAGTAGTGAGGCAGGCCAAAGCCCTACATGGGCTGTAGGGCCACAGGGATGGATGGACCAATAGCTTCTAGAGAGCTATTGGTAGTCCAGCCAATCAATGGAATGTATGGCATCTTTCCGTCTACGAGAGACGATCGATTTATCTTCTTTCCATACCTAATCACAAGCTTGTTTTACACGTTTTTTTATATAGCCATTTTAATAATAATGAATATTATATTTTGAAATATCAAGGGATAGCAGATAATTTTCTTTCAATTAAATGTTGAGTTCATGGGCGCCCGCAGGTAGGGGCAAGGGGGGCACTTGCACCCCCCCCCTGGATTGATTGGATAACATTTTTTTTAGACAAAAATAGACAAAATATTTATTAAAGTAAAGAGAAAGTAACTAAGCTGATGTCCTGTCCGTTCGTTCACCATACAAATACGCTACAGTAAATTAAAACTATATTAAAACATTACTAAAAAATTTTGCCCCCCCCTGGAAAGTTAATCGATTTTTTTTTGCACCCCCCTTGGAAGTTTTCTGCGGGCGCCCATGGTTGAGTTACATGCTACATAAATAAAATTAATTCTGTCTCAGACTATCAGTATTATTTAAGAGTAATTAATTAGTAGGCCTATATGAAGTGGTGAATTAATTTAAACATTCAATGTTCACTATTGTGAGCATTAAGTTTTTTTTTCTTATTATTTTATTTACCAGTTCTGTTATTAACACTAAATAATTTAGGAAATATGCTGCAAAAAAAAAAAAACATAGCGCAAAGGTATTGTCTTTTAGAAATGAGAAGCGGCTGAATAATGTTTTAATTTTGTCCTTACCACATCTTTTATTTTTATCATCAACCGGGGAAATTTCAACAACCCTTCAAAGAACGAATAGCTTCTCCTCAAACCCTCTTAATACTGACATAGTATTCGTTTGTATAAATCTTTGTTTTTCTGCTTTTAACTCATTTTCCTTTGTTTCTGCAGATCTAGGAACAAGTTGTCGGGTTTGCCTTAAGACTTTTGAATACTCCCAGTTCACCTGGTGCCCCTCTAGTCACAACATTTGTTTGCTGTGCCTCAAGACAGTCATAAGGGATTTCATGGATAAAAAGGAAGCGGTAAGGAATGGCCCGCACGCACTGGTTTGAGATGCCCTTCGATTTCTGTCTTTTGATATTAAACATTCTGTTCCTTCTGCACACCCCGATCATTCGGTCACACCTTCAGTTTAACAAGTATCATACTCGATATTGAGCCGTGAGGTTTTATGGACAAGGGAAGTGTGAGGGGGTGTTTAAAAAAGTTGACCATGGTGGAATGTTGTTTTTTTTATCTGTATCTGCAGGGTGGCCCAAAAATGTGATAACATCTCTTTAGTGTCAGAGGCGTAAACGAAGCGCGCACGCTTATAAAAAAATCGTTAAAAAACAAAGAGAGTGGGATTTGGGGGAGAAAGATTGGAACATTTGTTCTGATTAGCGTTATAATTTTCATGCAAATGTAAATGACAAAACATTATGTTAGTTCATTTATATCACGATTTGGTACGAGATGTTCTCGCTCTTTCTGTAGACCAAGATTTACTGGGCTCCAATTGGTTGGGAGTTTTCCCTAGCAAGTTAGGCTTTGGTTAATAGCAAGGTGTAATGGATTCAATCGACAATCGACAAGTCTGGCACGTATTCCATGGCGGTTTGGGGGGGGGGGGGAGTTAAAGGTCTTTGCCAATAAATCACATAAATTCTTAATCAGATATTGATTTATTTTTTCTCTCATGTTCATTTTCTCATAGTATATCAATAAATGGCTGTCAAGTCATAAATTAGTTTTCAATTTCAAAATTCTAAGAAAGTCTAGTCTAGCCCTAATTCATCATACAGACGGGCATTTGTATTTGCAATCAGTTATTACCTTTGTGGTGATGACACACACATTACTATTGTCTCAAATAAACATTCTATTACCAATAGTTAATTAATTTCATGAATTAAAAAAAAAAATCATATTCGCTTGTTAGTAATTTTACAAACGGTGACAATAATGTGCACCGATATGAACTATATAAATGAAGCATCAACGTGCATTTAAATTGTGTGAGAACTAACAGATAGACAGTTTCATGAAACAAAAGAAGGGTTTCTAGTCTTACCAATCCAGAAATCAATACTTATTTTACAGGTACATTTTATTTGTCCTGTTGGGACTTGTCGGGAAACAATTCACATTGGTAAGTTATCACCTATTAATTTATATAACTATAATAGTTCTTGCAACGCATTATCCTCAAGGCACATTTGAATTAAAATGTCCAGCTGATGAACATTTGGTTTCTCTGTTGTGTATATTTCGTATAATGCTAACGATGAAGGTGTAAAAGCAAAGCTAACACATTAAATTTAATGTCTTTTAAACATGTATGAAAATATGAATTTTATGAAAAAAATTATCTTAACAAATTAGCAGAATTCCCTAACACAATGATTTTAAACAATGTAAGCTCTTAAATTGTGAGCACACTTTTCACCATGACCTCAGGCCGGAGGGACAAACCCAGGTGGCTACTGAAATCGGAGGATGGTGAAATATTTGGAGCATATTGTTTGGCTTGGAAGGTCTAATGAATCCACTCACGTCAAATTTTTTACTAAGTCTCCTATTTTTACCTGAAGATCTGTTGGAGTAAATGGTTAGGCTTGGAAGTCTGATGAATCCACTCACGTCAACTTTTTACTAAGTCTCCCATTTTTACCTGCAGATCTATTGGAGCATATGGTTAGGCTTGGAAGACTGATGAATCCACTCATGTCAATTTGCTTAAATAAAACCTTTCCATTTTTACCTGCAGATCTATTGACACGAGAAGTTGACACGCTTACTTATGAATTACTTAGAAAGAAATTCCTCAAAAGACAGAGGAAGGCTAATGAAGAATTGGCTGCATGCCTGTTTCAGAAAATCAGGTAAGTGTTGAAAAATGTCAGAGATTTGTGACCACTTTCTTTGAAACTGGAAATTTCAGTGTAAGTGTTTGATTCTTGAAATTCTAATGCAGGCTTGCTTCAGAACACCAGCTTGGGGATGATCCATAATACTCTTGGGGTTAGCCTAAATAACTAAACTGGTTTCAAAGAAATTATTTCCTCAAGAAAACTTAACAAAGCTTACTAAAACATCAAACAAAAAAGACAGTATCAATAAACCCATAGAAAAAATGTGTATACATTTTCAAATATCCGATGATATTTTAATTTTCATTATAATGATATGTAATAGCAGTTACATATGTTTGATAAAGAGATCTAATTCAATGTAAATACGCTTATACATAAACACAAATATTAAAAGTCCTTTCAAAGAAGTTTGCTCTTAAAGTTTTATTGAAAAATAAAATAATTAAATTATTGTAATTATTCGAATTTATTAATTCAATTTGAAAAGCTTGCGTGCACATTTATTTATTTAATAAATTAATTACGATTTCTTCAGCTGCTTAGGCTGCAACACCCCAGCAGACATGGTCAAGGAGGCAATACACTTTAAATGCAAGAACTGTTCTAAAGTAAGTAACATTGTGAACAAAAAAGTAAATATCACAGAAGCCGTTCTAAAGTTAAAGTAGATTAAACGAGCAATACTCTTGCTGCCCTCTAGGATACTTCTTTTAAGCTAAGTGCTATTTTTAAATTTGATTAATTTATTTTCTGTCGTTTATTCGCTGGCGAAGGTGTCCTGCCGACACGTTCGTTTTTGCGTTGCGTTGCCTTTTTCAGGTTTTCCCATACTTTGTTTTACTCATTTCATGTCTTTTGTTGAGAATTAAATTTTTTTTTTTTATGGTAAAGCAAAGTTTTATTTCTTCAGAATAAGTCTGCTTCAGTAGACAATAAAAATCAACAGATGCAATAAACAGTGCACCCTCCATCGCACAAATAGAAATAAATAGTATATTTAATCATTTTACATATTGTTCAAGCTTGATTGGTTTTTTAGTTACATCACAGTAAATAATTTCTGAGTCTAGTGGAAATTGGCCAAGGTTTATTCAGTGTTTTATTTTAGATTGTTTCTTACTGCTATTTAAACAATTGATCCAAAATAATTGAATACTGAGTTACATGTTCATTTTTGGGGCCCATTGCCCATGGGTTTATATTACATTAAAAAAAAAAAATCATTAAGACACATTCGTTTGTGAGATAGCTGGATAAATGATGTGTTAAATTGACAAAGTTATCATTTTCTTCTCCAGGAATATTGTAGTTACTGCCACAAAGATTGGATGGGAAGTAACTCGCACAATGAGTGCAGACTCCTAAATTGTTCTGGCCCCAAATGTTTTCAGCAACTCCATGTATCTCCTGATAACTGGGAAGTAAGTTACTCATTACCATGTTACACCCGTAACATACTGACAAGATTGCACTGTTATGTGTGTATGTAAATTAATATTTGTACTTTTCGAGGATTGTACCTTTTTTGACTTGTGCTGTAAATTGATATAGTTTTTGTTTCTGTATTTGAATTAATAGCTGATGAGAGAAAAAAAGTCTGCCTGGACTTTTTTCAGACAATTAAGCAGAAAGAGTAACAATCCAATTTAATGGTGGGCCAGTTTCTAAAGTAATAAAAACGTGATATATTGTAAGAAAAAATCAAATAAAAGAGTAAAAAAAAAATCTTTAAACAAATGGTACATTTCCCTTTTTAAAAATAATATTTAGAATGAGCTCAACATTTCTAAGCCTATGTGGGTCTCAGTGAAACTACAGAAGCGTGAAGAAAGTGCAATTAGAAGTCTATTCAACCAAACCTCAGCTGATTTTCGTATCACGCATATAACACGGTTGGAAAATTCGAAGCTCTGGGAAAAATATGTTTTGTAAGTAGATTTTTTTTTTTAAAACCAGCCATTTAAGTCCAGCTCACCAGTGGCACTAGTCTGAAGATTGAAATGAATATAGCTCAAAATCTCTCTCTCTCTCTCTCTCTCTCTCTCTCTCTCTCCTTCTTTCTCTCTCTCTCTCTCTCTCTCTCTCTCTCTTTCTCTCTCTCTGGGAAAAATATGTTTTGTATGTAGATTTTTTTTTTTATAACCAGCCATTTATGTCCAGCTCACCAGTGGCACTAGTCTGAAGATTGAAATGTATATATCTCACAATCTCTCTCTCTCTCTCTCTCTCTCTCTCTCTCTCTCCTTCTTTCTCTCTCTCTCTCTCTCTCTCTCTCTCTCTCTCTCTCTCTCTCTTATCTTAAATGCTTTGCAAGAAGGAAAAGAAATATCAAAGATAAGAGAGGTACGAGAATTAAATAAAGTTCAAAGGTCAATGGGATCAATTCATTTCGCTGCAAATTCTCAAGTTGTTGGTTATTTTTTTATATTTTTTTTAAAAATACATTTAGACGCAAAACCTGAAATACAACAAAACTTAGTTTTTATCATCATTTTTTTAAAATAAGGAAGTGAAAAATAGTATTTTCATTTTACTTATCTTTCAACCAGGAAACGGAAGCACATGGTTAATGAAATAGGTGTGTCCAAAATTAACGAGAGAGCCTTATTTCATGGAACTAGCCATCATAATATTCCTGTTATTTGCCAAGAAGGCTTTGATACAAGGGTAGAGACTAAAAATGGAGCTCTGTACGGTAAAGGTGAGAACTATGATTTATGGACGGACATAGGTTAAATCACATTAATTTCAATCCTATTTCTTCGTTTAAATTGCATTTTATACAGATCACAATCATTTAAATTATGAATTTAAATAAAACAAAATAGATGTGTATTCGCAAAAAAATTCGGAAAACTTGGATGTTTATTTTATTTTGATTTTTTATTTTGGATGTTTACTCGTACGTTATTTTATTCTTGATAATTGTTTGCCCCCAGGCACCTATTTCAGTACAACATCAAACTATTCCCAAAGATATGCAGGATCATCGAATAAACTGATCATTGCTCGAGTGCTGTGTGGAAACTCTGTACAAGGAAACCCATCGTACAAACGGCCACCCAGGGACATCTCGGGCAGAATGTATGACAGCTGTGTGAATGTTGAACGTGGCCCAAGTATTTACTGCCTCTTTGACAACTCTCAGTTTTACCCTGCGTACATTATTGAGTACACAAAGAAGTAATAGATCTAACTTTTGGAAGTTGTTAGGTTTATGTATCTTTCTTATTGGATTGCATAATTATTCATTTGTTGTTCAATGAATATCGGGTAATCATTTCAATTGTTCTATTTGCAAAAATATATTTCTCATGTTTAATATGTATAATCACTGTTGTTGTTCAATGAGTATCGGGTAATCATTTCAATTGTTCTATTTGCAAAAAATATATTTCTCATGTTTAATATGTATAATCACTGTGAGGAATTTTTTAAAACTAATATTGTTCTATATTACTAAATTATTGTACACTGAAATGAAACGTGATAACATATCGCTTAACTCATTAAGATAATATACCATTTTTTATTGATCCAAATAAAATATTAAATTTTTTAATTAAATTGTGCATATTTATTTTCAGCACATGAATAAATACGTATTTAACCATACAACATTTTACAATTAGAACATTAAAAAAAAAAAACAACATTCATAGCGTTTCTCTAGCGTAGAATTCAGGCATCAATGAACGTCATTTAGTGACAACACTAACGTAATTATTGATCAAATATTGAGTCCAAACTTTAAGAGGAAGCATTCGACCTGATCAAGTTGATCTTAGGTACCGGGTATCTGGGATAAAGTGTATAGAATGTATCATCCAACTTTTTCTCTTGTTTTACAACATCATTTTTCTTCAAATGGTTCTTTGAACTAAATGATGTTTAATTTGTGTGATATTACTAGCTTTCTTTGTTTAGTCTATTCAATTGGTGTTTGATGCCAGACAATGTATTTATACATCGGCAGGTAATACTCAAGTTTACTAAGCTTGCCATTGTTGCACTGTTTATATGACATGACAGATCTGTCAGATATTTATAAGTATATGCATTTTATTCAACTCCTGTGATTATTTATTGATTTTAATAGATTTTTAATCTTGTAATTGATTTTGAGATTTTAACAAATGCGTTATTGTTCTATTTGTTAATATAAACAGTAGGCTATGTTTAAGGTGATGCTGTCCTAACCCATGAATATAAATACATAATATTTTCCCCATACTTAATGACTTAATCCCGTCTCATCTGGTAGTGCCACTTTTAGACCAACATTTCTCCGCAATCAAAGAGTTCATTTTTTCGTTTTTATAAAATCATTTTTTTTAAAATGTAAACATTATCTTGAAAATTAAAGCCTTCAATAACAGTCCAATAAATAAAACAAAAGTAAGATCTAAGAATAAATTATTGCAATTGCAGCAATTTAAATTTTAACTCATGTCAAATTAATATTGTTTAGATCTGTTATATTGGGAAAATCCCGGAAGATTTCTTCATGGTTATTGAAGAGCCTTAAGCAATGATATGTGGGAATGTATTTCAATCATCGAATTTGATCAACACCATTTTAATCATCAGAATGGTTTAGCGTTTAGAGGCTGATTCTGTCCGTGGGTGCGCAGATGGCTGATGAGACCGATTCTTGCACCAAATGTTCTTGTGCAGTAGGAGCAAGAGATGGATGGGATAAAAATCCAAGTGAAGAGTTAAACAGGGATTTCTGGCTTGTTTTTATTTTTTTTTTATTTTTGACTCATGTTGTGTAGGGATTTTGTATAAGGAGGAATGCCACGATGCTCGATCATTTGCTGAGACTTACCACGTGACGGGGTTTATATCTAACGCTTTCAATGAGACTTTTGGGTCGTCTTTAAAATGTTTCTTCTGTCCCCCAGCAAACCGCTTTCCGTGCTCGATCTCGCCATAAATTATTATTTTAGGCAAGCGGTCATCTGACATTCGCAAGCGTTCCGCCACAACGAAGCTGGGGGCGTGCCTTGAAATGGTGTAGATACTGGAAACACCTGCTTGTTAGGTGAGTTTTTTAAAATTATTTTTTGGTTACCAAAGTAAAGATTTTAAATTTAGTTGACAATCTGAAAAATTTCAAAGTTACTATGGTCTACAGTCTTTGATCTGCTTTTGAGAACGCATCGGACTATACCAACATTGAATCAAATAGTGAGTTTTTTTAACTATGAATCTGTCACGATTTATTAACCAGTTATTATCAAGGTATCAACAATTTCATTTGCCTCCACAATTCTATCTCGGCTCGTAGATTATAATAAAATAACGTTTTTAAGACGTAGGCGTAGACTGAACGCTGCGCCCTGCTCAGTTACCCTGGAAGGGAGTTGTTAGAGTTCATATGCATGCTCTAGATCAAGTTATTTGAATTCAATTATAGCATAATAAAATGTCATCATTCATTACTTGTCCTGGTCGAGCGCCCAGGTGAGGGACTTGGGTGAGGGGCCCGTGTGGGGGCCGTCCTGACGAGTGGGCATCTCCAACGTGCCGCTCCGCGGCCCGATACGTCGGACCGGGGAGGGGTAATTTGGGGGGGGGGGCGTTAGAGTCTAGACTCGCCCCGCTGACACCATTTCTTAATGTAACATTACTTGTAAATAAGTTATCCATTCTAAAGTTGATTTTGCATCCAAGTTGCCATTTGTCTCTCTTTAAGTCTGTCTACTAGATAGCATTTATACCCCCCCCCCTTTCTTACTTATTCTTTAATAAAATGCAGGACGGTGCCTATATTCTATTTTCTCTTAGCTACTTTCGAGGCAGTGTCTTGGGTAAGGAATGCGTAGCAGAGTCCATCTACTCGTATTTTACGAAGGTTATATCTACTTTTTAAAAACCACAATTCCTAGAAAATAAATATGGAAAATGTAACGCCATAATCAGTATTAGGTTTAGACTTGTATGAAAGCCATTTTTACATCTGGAGATTGCTGACAAATGTCAACAAATTTAATGCGTTTTTTTTTACATTTTTCACTAAAGCAAAATTATTTTTTAAATTACGATATAATAATAAAAAAGGGACGTCACTCAACTCCATAATTGAAACAAATTAAATGAACACATTCCCTTACATTATGCTCACAAATGTTCAAAGTGACAATGGAAAACTTAATAAGTTAATTCATGTGGTGCGATGAATTGATCTCATCAATAGTTTAAAAAAATGATGGCCACTTCCTTCAAAATATGTCTGCCTTTTACGGTATTCTTCACTAAGTCTGACGTAGCTAACATTTTTTAAATTATTTATTAACATCCACTTTGTGGATAATACAGGAACTACTATAAATAGTAATTTGTAAAAATTAAATTGAAAATATTTGAGTGTTTGACTTATTTATTTACAGCAGAGCGTCAATTTTTCTAACTAATTCAGACCGAGGTGCTTTAGAACAGCTCTGTCCCATGGACAGATGCGTTAAATTTTTCGAAAGTTTCGAATCTATCATCATCATCCCTCCTGAAAAGAAAAATCATCCGTTTCTGCTTGATGTATGTTCTCTATTTACGTCCATCCCCCACACTGACGGTCTATTAGCTCTAAAAATCTTTCTCGAGACTAAACCCCACCCACACTGACGGTCTATTAGCTCTAAAAATCTTTCTCGAGACTAAACCCCATCCATCTATACCCACCAACACACTCCTCCGATTGGCTGAACTGGTGCTCACCCTCAATTCGTTTGAGTTTGCTGGCCGATTCTTCGACCACATCAGTGGTGTTGCTGTGGGGACTGAAATGGTACCCAGCTACGCATGCGTGTTCATGGGAAATTTCGAAAACATGGTCGACAGCAACTAAATTGGACGCCAACCTGAATTCTATAAGAGGTACATTGATTACGGTATAGGGGTCACCACTGTAGAGAGGAGTGAACTTGACCTATTCATTAAATTTACAGGCTCTTTTCACCCGTCCATAAAATTCACATCTCTTGTCTCTGAGACCATAGTCAACTTTTTGGACATTACAATCACCGTTTACAAAGACAGCCTACTCACTTCCGCCTACCGAAAGCTAAAACTATTTCCTCTGTCTTCCTCCCACCCTAAATTCTATAAAGTCTCTATTCCCTTTTCTCAGTCTTCGTTGAATTTGCCAGTCTGAGGATGACTTTTGGGACAAAGTATTTTATATTATCGATTATTGTCGATGTAGGGCCTACCCGAAGACAGTACTTTCATCAGCCTTTCAAAGGGTTAAGAATATTACCAGTGCTGATGCCTTCAGGTCACGTCCGAGCGACATTTTTGACTGGACCAAACATGTTCTCACGTATCATCCTCACAATGTAATAGCAGCGAGTGCAAACAATAGCGTGGACACAACTGCGTCTAGTACGAAGGAGACCGACCCTAATCTGATAACTGCCCTTAGGGAGGGAATGTGTTGCATCTTGATGACAAAAGGGCAAGTGCTGCAACGGCTGTGCTTACATGGCTTATCACGCCTCCAAACAATGAAATGCGGGGGAAGAGAAATGTGGCAGGTGTCAGGGTCGGGGATGAGAATGGCGTGGCTTTTAAGGGAAACGTGTTTGGCTATGAGATTATGAGGATCTGAGTGCTCTCGCCATTGAACAAAGCCCTACTGGAAGATGTAACAGAGTTTGAGCAAGTTCAAAATATAGTCTGGTAACTTAGAGATTGAAATTGCTTATTACGGATCTGTAAAGCCACTGTTTTTCGATTGCTGACTACCGCAAAGAAATCAATCAAGCCAGCATACATACCAAGAATAATATGAAAAAGTGATGTCTTAAATGTTTCAGAGTGCATGAAGATAAATCCAAATAATTCATATTTGAAAAAAGGTTTAAGGCATCATTTTTATAGATATTGTTCTTGATTTCGATATTGACTTGATTGATTTCTTTAAAAAAATATATATCCAAATAATTAATATTTGTAAAAAGGTCTTAAAAGATAGTAAATATAGTGCCTCAGATAGTATAGAAAATGTTGTGTCTCAGAGAGTATAGTAAATACAGTGCCTTATATAATAAATATAGTGCCTTAGGTAGTAAATATAGTGCCCCAGATAGTAAATATAGTGCCTTAGATAGTAACTATAGTGCCTTAGACAGTAAATATAGTGCTTTAGATAGTAAATATAGTGCCTTAGATAGTATAGTAAGTATAATGCCTTAGATAGTGAATATTGTGCCTTAGGTAGTAAATATAGTGCTTTAGAAGGTAATTAGACAGTAAATTTAGTGCCTTAGATAGTATAGTAAATACAGTGCCTTAGATAGTAAATATAGTGCCATAGAAAATCACCGAAATCGTAAAAAGCGCGTAGAAAAAAAAGGCATCCAACGTTTTTGAACTTAACCCTCTTCGTTTAAGTCTTGAACAACAATCCCGAAGACCACCCCGCTCCTTTTGATGGTCCAGATCGTGTAAACCTTTTGGAACGCCAGTGTCATGTTCGTGAGTGTCCGGCATCAAAATTGGCGACGACGGCGTGATAGCGTTGACCTTCAAAAGCTTCCTGGCGGTCTCACGGGCGAGTTCCTTGGTGAATTTCGATTCTCTGGTCTCCTGCTCGGCTTGGTATTTCCGCATGACCAGCACGGTGGCGGCCAGTGCCGCAACAGACTCGACGATGACGAACGTCAAAAACTGGGTCATCCTCGGTGTGTTGATGGTGTTGGACATGTTCTTGGGCAGCGTGTCACTGTAGGGAGAGCAAAGACTTATCACGTGGAGAAATCAAGCGGAACCAAATTTAACAGAAAATTTAGCGGCACAATCATTTCGGTGACTTAAAGTATGTAATGTAAAAAGCCAATTTCGGTATTTAAATTTCTGGTAGTGTTGTTTTAAAAATAAATAATAGTAAATAGGAGTTTTTAATATTAAAGACCTCCACTTAAAGTTTTTAGTATGTGAAATGAAGGAAATTATTGTCATATTTTAAAATCTTTATTATCTCAAGGGAAATTAAATATATTTTATATATATTTATCATTTTGAGAAAGAAAAAAAATTAGTTATTTACAATTGAATTTAGAAAAACCACATGAATTGATTTTCATTAACTTATTTATATACTTTTGTACCATATATTTAGCTACCATACAATTATTAAATGTATTAATGTATATGATTGTTGCAGTACGTGTTACATTTTGTTCAATCTTCAAGGTAATTAAATTTTGTACATTTGTATGAACGAAGATTCATTATATAACGATTTTTTATTGATCTCGTTAAAAGTAAAGAGGTTTTCAGAAGTTCCTCAACTAAAGTAGCTAATAGGAGTGGTTAATGAATGGGGAGAATGGTGAGACAGTGGTTAATGAATGGGGAGAATGGTGAGACAGTGGTTAATGAATGGGGAGAATGGTGAGACAGTGGTTAATGAATGGGGAGAATGGTGAGACAGTGGTTAATGAATGGGGAGAATGGTGAGACAGTGGTTAATGAATGGGGAGAATGGTGAGACAGTGGTTAATGAATGGGGAGAATGGTGAGACAGTGGTTAATGAATGGGGAGAATGGTGAGACAGCACTTGAGCTGAACTGGAAATTGTCACACCCAAACAGGGAAGGTGATCAGTGGTGGCGATAAAAATGTGAGAACGAGAGCCTCATCACCCTAACGGGAACATAACACAGTCGAATTCGAAGTTGCTTGAATAGATTACATACTCTTCGAGACCCGAGTTGCCGTCGTTATGGTCATATATTATATTTGAGGAACATATATTAGCCAGGATTTTATCTTATGGATAACTGCACTATCCACTTGAATAAAAAATTATTACATACCTGACAAAGCTCAAAAACAGGGAAGTCGACACGTAGATTGACACCAAGAACGAAATCTTTTCACCCGAACCTGGTGGTATCCAGAACACGAGCAAGGTCAGTATGGAAGTCGCAGTCAAGGGAAGTAATAGACATAAGGTATAGTACAAACTGGCTCTTTTGATGACCAGTTTTAACCAAACAATACTCCCCATCCCTGAGGCAGTTACACGCACGGACTTATTTTCAATGGTCCATTCCATCTGGACATCAGAATCAGTTAATTTGCTGATGGATTGCGTGTCCAGCAATCGGACGTCTGAACGTATGCCCACATCCCCACCGGAGAGGATAGTGTATGCCCCGCAGTTCTGCGTGTCGTATGGATAGAGGCTTAAGTCAAAAGAGCAGTAGACGCGCAGACGCGAGCCACTTGTCAGCGTGAGTGTTCCGTCGGAGTCGAGGGACGTGAATGAAGGCATTGGAATGGAGGATGTGCCATCTGCACTGTTGAGTAACGTGATGGAAGGATGCCAGACGCTGGAAAGATATTGTTGCCATTTTTAAAATTAAAAAAAGGGAAATGGATTAAATAAGAGCATTTAATTTGGGAAATGGCGACTGATATTAACAGCATGTAGTTAAATAATTCTCTAAACCAAATCAAATCTTTTAAACCACTTCAAAAAACAAAAACACGTACTTTTCTGTTGGTATCACTACAGAAGAAAGGTTTCCGTAGTCGTCAGTCTTCCAGGCTAGTTCAGGGTCTCGCCAGGACATTACCCAACGGGTGACTATCTCTATCGTCTGCTTGGCTTCAACCACCTCAGTGACCTGTCAACAACAGCCAGAAAGAAACGAAACATAAATAACTTTCCCATGTTTAGCTTTGTTCTAAAATTGACGGCTGTGAATTTCGTATGTTAAAAGAAAAAAATTAATGGCAATTCTTTGCAAGAAGTTAACGATTGTTCCAATTAGTCGATGTTAGTACTAGAGACAAATATGTAAACATCCAACACAATTTATACAACTATATCATATTATACGTCTGTTCCAAATATTCATATTGCAACAGAATAAAAAAGTAAACTTTCCATCTTCTGCTACTTCTTTTGATTTTTGTTTTGTTTTTGGAAACAACAACAGTAGACAGTGGAACGGCTATTTACTTACTACCCCAAAAAGATCAAGGATAACAAGTTGACCATGTATTTAAATGTAGGAAAACTAACCTTTAAAGGTGTGATGTGAAGCGAAACATTAACTTCCCCCACCAAAGGCAATGGGCTGAGATTGTTCTGTAAAGCTGGATGAGACGCAAGTGCTTCGTACAGCTTACCTCTTGCCGCACGTAGGGGACTTATCTCCCTTATAAACGCCGAGACCGCCATTGACGGTGCACATAATATGCCCCACATAAGAAAAATAAGCATTCTTTACTGTAAAAATTAGGAGATGTATATTTAAGTCAATATTGATATTTGTGGCTATGTTATCCACACTTTGATTTTATTTCTTTGCATTCATTTAACATTTGAACGCATTTAATTTTTATTTAAATGAATTTAACGTTGCGCTGCTATTTCCACATACGTTTTACACAGAAGTCCCGCTCGTCTAAAAAAATTGGGCCAATGACATTTCTACGACGCAATGTCGAATTCCCGTGGTGTGCACGCCTTTTACAAAAAATTGATAGGTTTTTTTAAACGCCCTGGGCATAATTTAGACCATGGATTTACTGAGTGAGTGGGGAGTTTTCCCTTCCCCTTCCCCCAAAGCGAAAGCAAATAGAAAAGTTGGGAATAGATTTTGGGCAAAAATACGTTTAAAAAATTATGTAATGACTTTTTTAACATAATTAAACCAATACCAATTTGTATTTGAGTGTGTTTGAGTTTTATTTTTATTTTTTATTTTTTTGTTAGAACAATAAATGTTATATTGTTTGTTAATTTTAAAAATATGACTCGAAAGAGTTTTTGTGTAGTTTCAACTCACCAAATCCATAAAAATAAAAAATCCTCCCTCAAAAACAAAAAAAAATTATTAAAAAACAACGACTATTAAAGCAACAAAAAAAAAAGCAACAGCTCTAAACATTTTAATGAAATAAAAAATTGAATTTATGAAGAAGCCTTAAAAAGACTTGGACCAGTGACGTCGTCATGTTTCCAAATTATGTGAAATTTGGTTTAGTGATTTGAAGAGAATTCCCCCCTCCCCCCCCCCCCAAACCACCACAGATTATCTAAATGATTCTCTGTATTGTTTCCAAATTATGTGAAATTTGGTTTTAGGATTTGAAGAGAATTCCCCCCCCCCCCCCCCCCAAACCACCACAGATTATCTAAATGATTCTCTGTATAGTGATGGGCACTTGTCCCTGCTCCCCAACCAGTTGCGTCCCTTGCCTATTTTTCCATTTACCGCACATTCGATTTGAAAACGTAGAACTGTTTACCGATGGGATTATGACATGGGATCGCTATCCTGGCCATTCGATTGAATGGGTATACACACTATAGCAAACAAATCAAAGGATTTGGTCACAGTACAAAGCAGTGGCTCTCAAACATTTTCCGGCCTTCGCCCCCACCTCTCCTGGGTTATTAAACTCATCCTAGGCGCCCCGTATCTTACCACATTTTGAACTTTCGTAATAATACTTTTCACGATCCTCTCCTAAATATATTTACACGGGATAATGTAACCATGTAAGAGACAAGATGATATTTCATACAAATTCAGATGTAAGCTTTTACGTTAATAAATTCGATCATTAGCTCATTAATTTCACTAAAGAACGCTTAAGTCTATGTTAAATATGTAACGTATTCACTGTTCTTTGTTATTAAATGATGCATTGGCTTGGTTTATTGGTAGCAGTTTGTCAAGCATCATCATCATCATCCATGGTGCTACAGCCCATTTAGGACACTGGCTTGTTCCACCACATCCTTTCCTTCGGATCGATCCATGGCTTTCCTCCTCCATGCGTGAACCTCCAGCTAGTTTTAAGTGATTCTCCGCATATTTCATTTAACAACTTACTATTTTGAAAGGTTGTGTATTTTGATATGCGTATGAGTATCTGAGTGTGATATTAGCTATGGTACCAAAATTAACACATTTTCAAAATTTTGAAATAAAAATAAAGAGGGAAATAAATAATTCAAAGCATAAACACCTTCCGCAGTAAAATAAAATATTTAAAAAATACGTCTTCATTGATTTGCCATGTTAAAGGCTTTGCTAATTTTGTATAGAACAAGAAATTTGAAGCTTAAAAATCGGTATACACGTAAAAAAAAAGAAGTCAGATTTGGTGTAAACCTAATGTGTAAATGTATAGAATTGTATCTTTAAAGGCATCAAATGAAACGAAAGATTTACATCTCCATCAAAGGCAAAGATTTGAGTTTATTCTGGAATGCTACATGTGTCGCGATTGTTCGTAAACCTTTCTTTTAAACGCCCGTAAAGCTTCCTTTTAGGCGCCCGTAAAACTTCCATTCAGATGCCCGCGAAACTTCCATTTATACGCCAGTAAAACTTTATTTTAGACGCTAGTTAAGCTTCCTTTAGACACCCGAAAAACTACCTTTGAGACACACATAAGACCTCCAATTAGACGCCCGTAAGACTTCGATTTAAACACTCAAAAAGCTTCCTTTAGACGCCCTTTAAGCGTCATTTTAGACGCCGGAAAGACTTCCGTTTAGACGCTTGTAAAAGTTAAATTTGGACGCCCGTAACACTTCCTTTTAGACGATCGTAACACTTCCATTTAGACAGTTGAAAAACTTCAATTTAGACGCCCTTAAGACTTCCTCTTAGACGTCCGTCAATCTTACTTTTAGACACCCGTGAGACTTTCTTTTAGACGATCGTAACACTTTCATTTAAACGCCCGTAAATTTTCATTTCAGACACCCGTGAAGCTTTATTTTAGACGCCCGTAAGACTTCCATTTAAACGTCCGTAAAGCCTCCTTTTAGACCTCCGTAAAACTTCTTTTCGACACCCTTAAAACTTCATTTTAAAAACCGGTGAAGCTTCATTTTAGACGCTAATAAAGCTTCCTTTAAAAATTGATAAGCTGGCTTTGAGACATGCTTAAAGCTTCATTTTAGACGCTAGTAAAATGTACTTTGAAACGCCAGTAAAACCTCCTTTAGGCAACCGTTAAGCTTTATTTTAGACGCTAATTAAGTTGAAGCTTTGAGACACCAAACAAGTTCCTTTTAGACGCTAGTAAACCTTCAATTTAGACACCCGCAAGACTTCCATTTAGCCGCCTGTAAAGCTTACTTTTAGACGTCCGTTAGACTTTCTTTTAGACGACCGTAAAACTTACATTTTGACGCCTGTAATATTTCCATTTAGAAGCCCGTAAAGCTTCATTTTAGACGCTATTAATGCTTTCTTTTCGAATCCCGTACAGCTTCCTTTTAATGTATAATGACCAATCCAAATTTTTTTTTTCAATGACTAAAAACTTAATCACAATATATCTGTGATATGTGTTATATAAAATAGATATATATATGTATCCATCCATACATATATATATAACCAATAATTGTATAAATATATATATATATATAATTACACATATATATAATAATAAACCAATAATTAACAACGTGACGGTGTTTGTGAACCACAAAAAGAATGATTGGGTTCACTAACACCAAATTGCTCCTTTCTTAAAAAATAACAGATAAAATAAAAATATTTTAGAGAATTGTTTAAAGGACTATACAAGTTATGCAATATGATTTTGAAATTAAATCATTTTGCTAAAAAGGGGGATCTGGGAAGTGGGGGGGGGGGTGGGAGGTGTGAGCAATAAATCTAAAACAGTTCTGTTTAAAAGCATCGACCACTTCCCCCCACTCTCCCAAAATGTTTGCACTGGTGCCATTAACTTCAATACCTTTTGAATTGGGAACACGACGCGTTGTTGACATACTCGATCACGTTCATCTGCACCAAGCAGTTGTTATCGGTTTCAAAAGCAAAAAAACAAACAAGTCGAAATTGCGACGTGATTGTTTGTTTTAGAAACAAGGCATAACTAAAACCCTCTGGCAATTTGACCTGAGTTTGTACTTAGTAGGCTCACGTCTGATGGAAACAGCCTTGTACTTAGTAGGCTCACGTCTGATGGAAACAGCCTTGTACTTAGTAGGCTCACGTCTGATGGAAACAGCCTCTGTCGGACTGACGGGAAGCCCTTTTCGATGTGATCGCAATGATCAGTGTGTGTAGAGAGGTAGGGGCGTCTGACATCAGGGCGGCGCTATTTTGGGGTGCGGAACTGGTTGGGGGGGGTCATTTTTCGTATTCAATATCGATTCAGGAATTCAGTCTATTTCAGGAGTGAATAAAAGATGAAATACCAGACACAATTTTTTTCTTGGCTCTATATATTAGTTATAGTTGGGGATATTTAAAAAAAAAACAACAACATATTTTTTTTTTATTAAATAAAGGATTAGAAGGCACGTCATTAATCAAATGATCATTCTACCAATACTTGTAAACAAAACTATATCTGTGGTATGCATTTTAAACGTGTGTTGTTTACACATTAACACGTCTGGTTTACATTCTTACATGTGTAGCATACTTTTTAACAAGTGTGGTACACTTTTTAGGACAATTAACTAAAATAAATTATTCATGGTTAAAATTTAAGTCAAGTTGCATTACTGTGTCAATATTTTGTCAAATAAATTTTGACACTAAAAAAGACATATTTTAGTTTTAAGAGCATGCTTATCCGTTTCCATTGCTGCAAGTATGTGCTGTAAAACACAATTAAA